CAATTTGTGGAAGTGGCGGAGCGGCGTTCTGGTGCTCTCCGTCAGAACCATGGTCAGAACTGCATCCCTGTCAGACGAGATGACGTGATGAGATACCACGTGATGACACGTTAGGCTCGTGATGTGATCAAGGACCCTGACCTTGGCCAGGAAAAACAGGCACTCGCTTGTTTTTGCGGTCTAGATTTCTTTCTTTTTTTTCTTTTTTGCGTATGTTTATAAATTACCTCGAGGGCCGTAGAAAAAGGTCTCGTGGGCCGTATACGGCCCGGGGGCCGGAGGTTCCCCACCCCTGAACTATAAGATCTATCTGAAATAAATAAGTGTACTGAAACAAATACCAATAACTGTATTGCATTGTTTTCTTATGCGCAATTACTTCATACTGTCTAGTTCTCTTTTTCGTCCTGCATTTATTGTGCCCCCCTCAGAAAATAACTGGCCCCCCAGTGGCCCCCCCAGTCAAATTGGTCTAGAACCGCCACTGCGTACCAGTTATGTGTTACCTGTACTACAGCAAAAGTATTCTCCGTCGGGACTTCCTGCAACAACACAACGCCGTTATCTTGATTCTGATTGGCCAGAAGACATTATCAAAGATGTTCAATTGAGAAGACGATCACTACGTGACAAAAGTTTTCAAAACCGTTTCTGGTCTTCGGTATTTCCAGACAAGTGGCTGCTGGAATCAATCTTACTAACTGCTGTCTGTGCAATTTACTCCGCGCGAGTTGGCGGACTTTATTTTGCTTACTTTAAACATCATTTTTCATGGTGGGGCTAAGCCATTTATTGGTATGGGTGTAGCCTACCCCAGCCATACCCTGTCGCTGACACTGGTGGGATGTATGGGGCGGGCCATTCTACACATGCGTTAAATGCGTTAAATATATTAACGCAATTAATTAAAAAAAATTATTACCGCCGTTAACGCGATAATTTTGACAGCATTAGTTTATTTATAAAGCTTTGTTGGGTAAACTCCCGTATTATATCTGCTCTCTGATAACACAGAGAGTTGCAAGCAGCTATTGTCTGAGATCGCATGATGTAGTATTGTTAAATGTGCCAAGAGAAAGGACTGTCTTAGGTAAGACAGCTTTTATGTGCGCAGCTCCACTTGCTTGGAACAATCTTCAGCAAGAATTGAAACTGAGCAATCTCATTCCTCTGCATGTTTTTAAAGCTAGGCTAAAGGAAATGCTTTTTGATACTATGGGCACTTGTAAATGTCTATAACTATGTAAATGTATCCTGTAAATACAGGGTCGGCGTCATGGGGGGTCATTCGCGGGCCATGCCCCCCCCAAATGTGTCACTGTGCCCCCCCCAACGCAGGGTGGGCAAGCCTTATTGCCACTTTGCCGTTTTTTTTTTTAATCATATAAGTTAAAACGTTTCCACCAAAAGTTTTTTGTGTGAAATACATCAGAAATAAAGAATACAAATTTGTATTCTTTATTTATTCTTTATATGAAACACAGCCTGAGGTGTGCTCACTGCTGCTCTCTGATTGGTGTGTTGCTTGACCAATGACCCCGACTTTTGTTTTGTTATCATTACATGGCTGTGTGTTTAGATGAAAGCCCAGTGGCCATCTGTTATACTGATTATACAGTAAAGCCATCGAAAATAATATGATATACAGTACAGTACAAGTACATGGGTCTCTGTGTTTCATTCAAGCTCGGCTCTCTGTGTGTGGCACGAGCGCATTTTGTCAGTGCGCGAGCGGTAACGTGGAATATTGTTGTTAGCATCTGGTTAGCTAGCTATGCTAACGGATATAAAGAGCTGTTTCTACACCAAGGTGGAGGAGAGTCCTCTCCTGTCAGACTGAGAGGATCTTATAACGTCAGCTCAGTGAGGTAAAGGACTCTGTGTTTAGATAGTTCACTTTAGTGTAAGATATCTCAGTGGGTCTCAAACGGTTTGGTGGACCATTTATGTAAACAAGTATTTGCGAGGAATAGGCTACCTTATATGATCATTATAGTTATTAAAGAATAAGAGAATAAATGAAAAAACGGGTATGAAATACTATAGGACAATAACACAAGAATACCATTTAAAAGGGGAGTGATTAGTAAAATATCCATAAAGAAAAAGTAAATCTGTTTACAGTTCTGTTTCATATGGATGTTGAGAGATGTATCCATAGATCTCTTCATGTTGCTCTCAAAGTGCACCAGATTGATGCTTTCAACTTCAATATTTTAAAAATAATCTTCCCGGGGGAGCATGCCCCTAGACCCTCCTAGAGGACGTTAGGTCCACCCCCACCTAAAACATGTTCACATGGATAGGATACTAAATACATTTGCACACTTTTTATATGGTGGTCTATGTCCATATGTTTCTGTTTTGGTGGTTGTGCCACAACCGTGCATGTATGCACAAGTCATAGGTGCGCTATACAATAGCACTACACCCTGCAATGTGTGTGAAAGACAATAAACTTTACAGCATGTTTTTTGAAGTTGCGTTGGTGTTTGTGTGTTGGTTGTTGACGGCAGTGTGTGCCCCCCCTTGGTAAATGATTTCCCCCCCATTTGATTTGTTCTAGAGCCGACCCTGTGTAAATATAATGTATAATGTCCTTTATTGTTTTATGTTTCATGTGGAACCTATATGCTGCAGGTCTCCCTTGAAAAAGAGATCTATGATCTCAATGGGACCAATCTCGTTAAATAAAGGTTTGAAATGAAATGAAAAATATAGCCTATGTATGTATTTATATAAATATATACAATTTCAGAATCAAACGGAGCACTCTCATAATAACGTAACACTATCAGAAACTGGGTATACCCAAGCTAAATGGACTATTCGACTTCAGCCAGAGTCTTTACTCTAGGGCTAGGCGTAGTGTGTTCCCTGACAGTAATACGAGGGCCATAATGCCCCTGTACCTCCGCTCTGATAGCACTTCCTGCGGTTTATCACTCTCATCTGCGCATGCCCACTCCCTTACAGCAGAGCCATAATAGAATTCTATCTATATGGCGCTGCCTTACAGAAGCTACAATCGGGGCAGCGAGTGGTGAATTTGTACGGTGAACATTGTGTGTGAGTGTAGAATTGTGATATCAAATGACACTCAGACTTGGATACAGATCAACCTCAGGTTTATTAGACAACATAGGGATCTGTGCATTATATAGGGAGGAGGCGGGATTCGCCCTGGCGTCCCGGGTGGAGAGACCTTCTGCCCCCGTCGAGATGCTTCCTCCCCCCGCCAGTAGGTGAATGCTTGCATGATAAGGTAGTGGGTCCCTTAGAGTCCAGTAGAGGGCGGAGCCTGTGAAATATATAACTTTGTCTCCTCACTACTATGACATAGATACAATTTGGAGAATAAACTATTTCTCAACACCTGTTCCTCTGTATAATGTCCATCAGTTACCTGTTGCTGTTACACATAATACAAAGTTCAGTTAGCCTCTGATACAGGACCGTGGGAAGGGGTGCTGAGGGTGCTGCAGCAACCCCTGGTGGAGCACAGGGGATCTGCACTTCCACTAGATTAAATACAAATATAATTTTTTTAAAAACGAATTAAAAAGTCTATTTAATGAACAAGGTAAAATACAAATTTGACTTTGGTAAAGGACCAGATGTCCACCAAACAACATCATGATTTCTCTCTGTAGCCGGTTTTGAAGATAAATAACTTAATACTACTTTTCCTTTTTTTATTTTTCCATCTTGATGCAGGTCCAGGAAGACTTCCCCACTTTCACGAGGAACCTGTTTATGGTCCAGTTAGCGGCCTGTCAGCAGTTTTTTTATCCTCACAGACCTAAATAAACCCATGACCTCCTAAAAATGTGGGATTTTACTGCCGAATGGCTCAAGCTGCTCTACGGGCAGTACAAGCTGTCAAGTTCACAAAAGGGCAAAATGAAAGCTGCCAGCCAAGTGTTTGGGTCTCTCTGAGCTCTCTGAGGAGAGTCTGTTCTGGATATTTCAGAGGAGGGAACTTTGATCATCTCAGGAGGGCCTTCGGGGAAGTCTCATATACTCCAATATGGATAATTCAGAGGATCTATTGTCAGTCTTTAAACCTCAAGACCTTGGAATCTTCTCCTGCTGAATTTTATCTGAAGGTCTCGTCAACAGGTGTAGAGCAGCTGCTTCACTTGGTGTGTGTGTGTGTGTGTGTATATATCTATATTATTTATCTGCATAATGCTAGTCAGTTAGCCCTATAGATGCCATGTACTAACAACAAAACAGCAGCGACTACATAAAATTTGCATTCGACCTATCTTCCTCGACCTTCATGAGATGAATCACTATACCTTCTCAGGCGTTTTAGCTGGACACAGTTATAAATACATGCGTCCTGCAGCATGCTGTATGTAGTCACGCAGAAGAGCGATGCAATGGGTGAGAGATTTGCAGGAGGGAGCTGACAGGTTCCTTTTCAGACAGTTACACATATCTGGAGCCCTGTGGTGAGAATGTAAAATGGTGAAGACTAATGCTTCTGTCCCCACTAATGGTGCAGTCACAGTACACTAGAGGAAAAAATCTCTATAACAAGCCAAAGTGAGTACCTTCATCCATGGAATCTTCACCACAGCTCACACATGCATGGTTTCATGTTTGTGGTATCAATTACATCAATTAAGAAGAGAAGCTTATCAGATAACAGAAATCCTATTCACCCCACAGTGAGGACATTTACTGTAAAAGGGAGAGTGTAGATAAAAGGAACAAATGAAATATGTAGGGTAACATATTACATAAGAGAGGCAAGCACAGCAAAGAAGCACAATGGATATTAATGGAGTCACATCTAAATCTAAAATAAAGTACATGTCTGGAATTCCTCCAGTATGACAGTTGTCAAAAGGAAGCTGAACCAGGGTGTGACAGGAGGTCTTTGGTTTCAGGCTGAAGGGATGGGGGTGTAATGAATCATTGGAGAAGTTGCATGTGGGTGGGGGTTGTAGCCAAGGGGGGGGTTGCGGTCAAGTACAATGCCGTTCCAAGGGGATAGCTGTGACAGGCAGTAGTTTAAGGAAAGACTGCAGGGAACAGAGCGGTGAGAGATAAAGCAGGAGACCTGACTGACACCAAAAAGCTCTGTTGAGGCAAATCTTTACTGCAGAGCCTGGGCAAAGTGCTGAGGGGATAAATCATGGGGGTGTGCAATGAACAAGGGTAAGAATATTTAAATTGATTCAGAGACTCTTGGATGGTTCTTTAAGAAATGCTAAATTGACTAAAGGGATGTTTTGTAATTGCAGCAAGGTATTAGCACTTAATTAGAAGTAACAGCGTCAGGTGATATTGTGACTGTACATCACACGATTAATTAAAGCATAGTTTTTAAATGAGCTATACAAACCATGGTTTTATACATATATATAAAGTGAAAATGTATACCATCATTTTTAAATTAAATAATTTAATTATACATTTTATTATTTTATATTTGTAAATGTTATTGCTATAATCTTACGTATTACATCCGGTTATTTTTTATAGCATATATATTTAATGATAATTATTTTAGGGAGCCTGAGAACTAATATCTACATTAATGACGACTGCTTTAATATAATTGCTGTGCATATGACAATAAAGAACTTTTTAACAAAAATGTAAACAAAAATACTAATTTAAAATTGGTATATTGGTAAATATTGGAATAAAATCAAGCTTAATACTTCCATTTAGAGTAAGTTGTGACCTCAAAATCAATGAACATGTTAATTTCTACTTTATTATTCATTTATATTGATCTCTGTGTGTTTCAGGGCGGACCCTGGAGCCAGAGACCGGTCATATGATGATCAAAGACAGAAAAGGAGGGTCCCCCTCGCAGTCACCGCACCCCCTTTGTCCCATCGCAGACAACTCAGCAAGAGAAAATACATGATGTTTGTGGGTCAAGTTGCTGCATTCAGTTGTACATCTTAAAAGTAGGGTTTTAAAGCATACTGACTTCTTGCTTTAAACTGCAGCTTACATTGTTGTAGTTCTGCGCTCTGGATGGAAGGCAGAAAAGATAAGAGCCCATTCTTTGGAAATAAGTATTCTGAAATATGTTATCTGGTTACATTGTGGGGAAAAGTAGGATGAAAGGAAACAAGTGGCAACCTCCAGGTATGAAAGTGAAGCCAAGCAATAAGTGCCTTGATCCTGCATTCTGTCTGAAGGTGACCTGACTCATAGGCAAAAAATAAGTCAGATTTAGAAGTCTATAAGAGAATGACCCTGATTCTCAATTGCTTGTTTCAAGCTTTCAAAACAGACTGATGATCAATAAGTAAATTATGGTCCCATTAAAAGTGGAATATGTTAAAGCCGCATGTTTAAGGGCATGGCTAACTCGTGATTGACAGATCATACCACAATGTTGTCCAGTGCGGCTGCTATCTCTTTGACCTATTAGCAGTATTCTTTCAGTTAACAAAAGTAAATGTAGCATTATGTTTGCCTCAGACCTTGAACGGTGTTGGGTCCTATTTAACTTAACTCTCAAGTTTCTCGTCCCAAATAAACAAAATGGAAACATCTAAACAGCAAGATTTAACTATATTTTGGCCTCTGCCTCATCCATTTTGAACATTTTTCATTTAAAATAGCCCTCAGAAGCGTCCCAACTCTGTGGAAGCCCTAATACATTCTTAGAATATACCTTCACAAAATGCTTTACAATTAAATGATATAGTTGCAAATCTTAGCAATGAGTGTGACTCTCAAACTGAGCCGGCTAAATGAAATGTTTTGCGTGAACAGTTTTGATCTACTTTTAAGTAAACATGAGCCTTTTTTAAGAAGTTTGTAATGCTCATTAAATGTTTCAAAACATCATGGTCTTCTGAGACCAATTTAAAGACCATTTCCTGCTGAGTCTTACACTTTCTGCATGGCATCAGTGCCGTCAAGGGACTACTGTGGTCACCTTTGACTGTAATTGCTCCTAGAGGCAGATGCAGGGGAGGAATTTCTGTTATTATTGAGCCAACATATAATTCTCTAGACAACTATCAATGCTCTCCATTATTATGTGTTTCACCTCTAGCAGAGTCTTCAGAACAACAGTTCATCCCCTCAAGGAGAGTCAGGCAGGATGAAACCAGACACAGAGAGCTGCAAAGATAGATTATAAACTGTGTGAACACATTTAGCCTCTATAGTATTTAAATAAAGTGATGATCATATTGAAGGAGAAGGGCCGAATCAACTTAAAGTGTATTACATAACTTATAGCAATGTTTTTGTGCATGCAAAAAAATAAAGTTATGAAACCTGAAAATTGGCATATAATGTCCTCTTAAAAATATTCTGACAGGTGACAAAATAAAGAACAAACCTCAGTGAAGGAGTGGAGGAAAATAAAACATGCCTTAAAGGGGGAACTGAGAATAAAACATGCTGTGACTCCAGTCCTGTGGCCTTTTCAATAAGCAGTTAGAATCAGAGATGTTGTTAAACAGCACTCTGTCTACCTCCAGCATCAGAACACAAAAAAAGGAAATACATTTTGAACGATTTTCAGAGTTCAAGAGGGTTGTTAAGTCCCTGCCAAAAAGCTCTGGAGCTGCTCTGGATGCTGAGGGTTAATGTTTTTTTATTTCATTTGTCACCCATCTGTGCATTTGCAGTCTTGTAAATGATTTTTCACTTTCCTGGATCGCACCTCTTTCTGCCAAGAATCACCATGGAAACCAGACAAAAAAGCTCAATACTATCAGGTCCACTTTCATTTGTTTACTGCTTTAACAGCATGTAGAGAACTGCTAAATAAGTTAAATATCATTGAAAAAACAGGAAGTACTGTGAAAGACACATTTTCTTCTGTCCCAATTAATATAGAAAGGAGGAAGAAGGTATGTTTTGACATAGAAATTGTATTTAAATAATGCGTTTTGTGTTGGCAGTGGGGGGATGGACCCAGGAGGACCCATCCTGTTTGGTAGAGCAGTTCTGTCCTGAGTACAATGAGTGGCGGGCTGCAGCACGCATGGTCAACAATCGTGGCAAAGTGGCCGTGGGCACGCTGGACGGCATGATCTACACAGTGGGGGGGGGAGGACCACATCCGCTGTTACAGCAGTGTGGAGAGGTGAGACACAGTACAGGCTCTGGACGTCTTTGACTGACAGGTTGTGCATTCATTTATTTTGTATCTCCAAATGTCCAACTTCATATTCTCTCCCATGTCATGTTTACCTTGAGCTCCTCAAGGCAAAGGATTTCTTGCTCTGAGAACCTAATTTCAGCATTTAAACCCATTGTGTTTGTTTCCTCACATTGGATTTCATACCCGTTATATCAAAGTGCTGATTTAATAAGAGGCTGTGCATTTCTTATCAGAAAAACAGCATCAATTAGAAATAAGAAAACACCTAAACACTTACTCCATGACAGAAACGTTTTTTAAATCAGGCAAGGCTGGAATGGCATCCAAAAATAATGAACATCGAACAAAACAAAAATAAAAGCTGTTATTTTGTGCTGTTGTATTTGCTGTAAAGTGTCTCTACTGTAGGCTATTTTTATTATATGTACAGCACTTTGGCTCGACCAAAAATCGTTTATAAATGTGCTATATAAATAAAACTTGATTTGATCTGATTTGATTTTCAATATCACAAATATACTTATTAAAATGTTTTTTTCAATTCCATCATCACATACAGTACATATAACTAAATCACTTAGGTTCAGCATTATGACAGAGATAGCTCTTCATGTATGTGTTATTGTTGTGTACATCACTGAACAGCAGAGGTCAGCATTAAGGCAGAAATTCAATGAAAACCCTCAAAAGCCATCGTTTTTTGTCAGAGGCGAACTTAAGCCCTAACTCTGGGATTTCCCTCATCTTCATGTTGCCAGGGTATCTATTCCTCATAGGCTTAGAAAGTCTAAAATAATCACACACACACACACACACACACACACACACACACACACACACACACACACACACACACCACACACACACACACACACACACACACACACACACACCACAACACACACCCACACACACACACACACACACACACAACACACCACACACACACACACACACACACACACACACACACACACAGCTCTCCAGTAGCTCATTTATCCCGCTTCCTCTCCTCCTCCTCTCTATCAGATGTCTCATAGGAGCTGGCTCTGTGCCCACTTCCCACAGACAGCCACTCCTTATCTGGGCTGCAGCCAGCTGACCCCGTAATGAACCCCCGGTCTGGCTGCAGCCCAGCTGAGAACGACCTGTCCCAGACTGATCAGCTGTTAATGGCTGAGGGTTGGTGACAGCCGGTTACATCACTGATATTTAGACGGAATTGCAGATGTCAAGAAAAAGAAAAATGCCAATTCAAAGTGTTTTTTTGTGGGATGTGGGTTTCATATGATGGTCTTAAATGGAGGGAAAACATTTCTAATAGCCCGAACAGTGGAGAAGAAACACTGGCAGATGTTTACACAGATATCCACAACATTTGTATTTCTCTGTGCCGATGTCTTCCAAAAGCACACAATTGCAGACACCAAAAACAAGATACACACATCACATGTATATGAAAGCATGTGCCTGTGTTTGTTCCACTCAAGTTGTTATTGGCAAAACCTGATTTCACACTTTGACATCCGCACTCCTTGACCCCCCCATTGGCAGATATAACCCCAACACAGACAGCTGGAGCACAGATGTAGCACCCTTGAGCAGCCCCCGCAGCGGAGTGTGTCTGGTGGAGATGGACGGATACCTGTACGCCATTGGAGGACACGATGGCATCGCTGCTATTAATACTGTGGAGAGGTACTGAGTGCTACAAAATATCTATCTCTTTTCTTGATATAACCTGCTGTGAATCGTCTTAAGGGGAGACACTACAGGTACATATGGTAAAGATTTAACTTATATAACCATAAACCTTCCCCAGCTGATACATTTTTTTAAATGCAAATGAGGCTTATTCTAAATATGTATTGCTTTGCTTATATTTCCAGAAAAAAAAACTGAACAATTATTGTCCCATTTGGTTAATTTTTGTGTAGATCTTTGTGTAACTCCATGAATCAGAAAATGCTGGCAACACCCAGTATACATTTTTTAATAAATGTAATGTTAGAAAAATCTGGCTATTAACAATAGAATGACAAACCACTTTGTACAAAAAACCTTTTAAAATAAAATGTAGATTAAAATGAAACTGGCAAATTCAGTGAATATTAGATGAAATGAGATGTCTGGCTCAGAGCATGAGAAATACATCATTGTAGGCAGCCTTTCAATCAATGTAATGTAAGATCTAATAAAATGTGATACTTAAAAATAAAATCAAAAATCCTTTTAACTATGTCATCATGACATCGATCTTACCCAAGTTCATAATTTACAGATGCTTAAATATTTTCTAAGTTTTCTAAGCCATTAACTAATTCGAACTTTACTAACTTTTGGTAAATTTTGGAGGAATCTAAAAACACAAATAAACACAGTTACAGTAATGAAACAAACACCTTAATTAGAATTGTGAATGTTTTTGCCTAAAATATATCATGCTTTTGCCTCTAGTGTCTTGCTTTACTGTTAACAAAGACTGAGTTCAAAACATTTCCTGAACAGTGGGACCAATTGTCATTATTTTTCAAATCAAAACAACTGAATTTAAAAGGCTTCTCTTGGTTTTTCTAAAGAAAAAATGTTTAAATCACATTTACATTTTTCTTAGTAAGACAGGCTGTCTCTTATGTATATCTTGAGTGAAGTTATAATGATTTTAATTGTCTGACATCTCACATTACTGTGAAAGCAATCTGAAGTGGCTGACTCAGAGAAAGGAACAAAGACATGGTTTAATTTGAGTTATGCAATAGCATGATTCTGAAAGTCAGACTACTTTGGTAAATTGGTGTTGCTAACCAGATTTTCTTTAATTGTTCCAGGTATGACCCGAGAATGAACACATGGAGCAAGCAGGCAGCGATGCTGGGCAGACGCAGTGGGGGGGTGGCTGCTGTGCTGCAGGGTCAGCTGTATGTGATGGGGGGCAATGATGGGGTGATGGCTCTCAACTCAGGTGAGATATGTGGTTACAGATAAAAGACCATGTTTGATATATCGTAGCAACTTAAAATCAGTTGTCTAGAGAGAGTTGGCTGAGGAAACAATTGCTCAAAAACAGTGTTTGTGTGTTTATGCTCCTAAAATGTAATGCTTGAAAGCATGGCATACTTCTAGTGAGTAAGCCCCACTAGAGAGTAACATACAACCTTTAAAGATCTACAGGAGAGCATAAAAAGTATAAAACACATAGATGTCGTAAAACACTCCCTGGACCTTCTATAAAACACCAAAACACAAGACATATACCCTGAAGGGGATATCTACGTGTGGGTGACCTAATAACCCTTATAACAGTTTATCTTCCTTATTGTGCATGTTATAAAACACTTAACTTCAAACCTTAAAACATCTTTAAAATAAGGGTTACAATACTTCAGGAACCCAAACGTCAAACCTCAGCTCTCACAAACTGTCAGCCCAACACCCAAAGTAATTAAATCTAAAATCAATTCAAACAGAGCAGTCCAGCAAATCATAACAACTAACTAATGTTGGGCGTTTTTGTTTTGGTAAATTAATAAAAGGATACATTGATTCGAGTGCTTGCCATTGGAAAACTCAATTAAAAATGCATTCCAAACACTTGTTTTAATTGACTGCCAGAGCTTGTTGAGTGTTTGTGTTAATATGACTGGCATAAATTATACTAAAACTTTGAATCAAATAATAAACAAAAGCAGCTTCAAGCCATATCATGAATGTATTTATGTGGGAATGCTACCTACCAACAGCCAACAGTTTTTTTTGTAGCTTGTAGGCATTTTGTGAATTGACTGATGTACTGATGGAAACAAAACAAAAAATCTCAGCTGTATTTGACAGCCTTTTGACTTGTGGGATGACTTACAGTAAGCCACGTATTACAACTAGCGTGACCTTTATTCTCTGCAAGTAGCCCATATTTTCTCTCCTCACACACACACACACAACACACACACACACACACACACACACACACACACACACACACACACACACACACACACACACACACACACACACACACACACACACACACACACACACACACACACACACACACACACACACACACACACACACACACACATACACACACACACAGCAACATTCCCAAGCCCCTGCCCTCGCCAAAGATAAACAGGGTTATGTTTGCTGCAACTTGTCACCGACTATTTCAGTCTGTGAGAAGTGCACGTACGTGAAATTCCCACAACCATTTTTGGATCACATCAAACTCACGGTCTATACTTAATAAATAAAGTATAAATAAATTGGTTGGAAAATAGCCTTCTTTCCAAGTAATTTAAAAAATACATTTATATAAAAAGAGATACTAAAAGGATCGATAGCTAGTTTTTTTTCGACAGACACATTTTGAGTGCCTTATGTACACCTAGAATTGCATTAGATCAATATAGCCTAGACGTTTTTCTATATCAATAAAAACAACTCAAAGTTAGTCTGGAAAAGTTAGTGTTACTCATACAGTGTAGCAGACGTGTATTATGTGATATGGCCCCTTATGACTCCTCCTATCTTCAAAATGTCCCCCAGTGGAGCGATACAACCCTGTAGACGGTACCTGGTCGATATGCGCCCACATGCTGAGTCCCAGGGAGAACGCGGGCTGCGCCGTGTACCTGGGACACATCTACGTGTCCGGAGGCAGAGACGAGCTCAACCTGGAGCTCTGCGGAGTGGAGAGGTTTGACCCGGACAACATGAGGTGGACTCCTGTCAAACGCATGAGGAGCAAGAGGGACAATGTAAGTAATGGATCACTAAGAGACCGGATCAGGTGTCAGGCCTCCCCTGTGATTTAAGGTCCAGTTTATTTTTACATTCTAGATGATAAGAACAGACAGAATGGAGGGAGGTAATGTGACTGACAAGACTGAGTAATGGACACAATTTTCCTCAGGAGATTACCTCTGAATCTTCAGTAGAAGTTACGGTTCTCATTATACAGGGCCCAGAAGGGTTTCCAATTGACCATCTTCAAAGTCAGTTTTTTTTCCAACGATATAATCCATAAATTCTGAATATCTGACTTTTAGAGGATTCCCAGACCATCCTAAACGTCAAATTAGAGGATTGTTCAAGGACCTTACAGACCTCAGAGAAAAGGACTCATGGCATAATCAGGGATATGGATTCATAACTGTAAAAATACTGATCATTTGTATCATAAGTAACTAGCAGGTTTTATAGAAGAACATAGAAAACTAAATATCAAAAGATCCACTTCTAGTCTTCTAGACCTTTAGTATGCCATGTTTGTTTATTATGAGTTTTCCCATTTAAATTCACAACCTTCAGGGATGTCAAGGACCATCAGGCAGCCATGCTTTTACTAACAATAATTCCCTTGAAAAGCAAGTGTCAGCATGTCTTGATAACCGATCCCATGCTTAAGTAAGACTTTATTAAAGAGTCTCTAACCATAGCTATCTACAACCAGGGACCAGTGCCTGAAGCTGGTGACGGCTGCACTGAATTTCTTGGCCTTGTGCACTGCCAACTGACGGACAGGATCGTAACATTTCTGTAAAAATCCATTATTTTGGGGGGGGGGAAAGCACGCGCGTGAACTGTCAATGGGGGGGGGGGGGGGGGGACATGCTTACACAGCGTAAAGCATAAACTCCCAGACATTTCATGATTTGCACGGCAAAGTTAGGTCTGGAAACGGTATCATTTCCTTTTTGGCGGGCATCCATAACACGGCATGACACCGGAGCCCTGCTGCGTGGAATTTGGCGCTGTTCTGAGTTTGTTCTAATCCGTCAAAATGACTGCTTTCAGATTTTTCCGTCATTGTTAAAAAAAATCCGTCATATATTCGGTTAACGAGACCTCTGCTGCCAACATGTTTTAATTTGGGATCAGAAGCTGGCCAATATGTGAGAAGATTTTTATAAATGTGAAGTTAAACATTATATCTAATTAGATCATTATTGTTTCAATATATTTGTCCCTCTCTTTTGCGAATCCCTGGCTCCATTTCAATTATAATTTGGATCCCACAGTGTAAATGTTTTTCTTTTGATTTTCTACACAAGAACAAAATAAATTTGGGGGGGAACTAAATTGTAATCTTTGGCATGCCATGGATCGATGGGCAGGCATCATGTTTATTATAATGTTCACCATTTTAGTTTAGCATGTTTTTGCCAATAAATACAAACAAAGATGAAGCCGATAGTAATACAATTAGTGTTGCAGACTCATAAAACAAATACAGATCAATTAGCAATTTTGAGCCGTTGATAGCCCCATTTGAAAAAAGAATGGCTCACAATTATTACAATTCATCCTTAGGGAGACACGAATGTCTGTAGCGTCATGGCAATCGATCCTTTAATTATCAAGACATTCCAGACAAAATGCAAATGTTGATGTCATTGTAACGATGAAGGAAAAGGCATCACAAAACTCATTCTCTGGGCAACATGAATGCACAAAATTGTTTTCCAATTGATCTAGATTTTTGCAGAATAGTTTAATCAAAAACGTGTTTAAAGGTCAATGGATCACCAAAATGTCATTGCAATTAATTTAGTGGTTTTGACCAACATGTGGAGATGAATATCCATAGAGCTATGTTGCTATCAAGGCTGAAAGGTGTGTTGATCGTTTTTGTATGTATTTTTGTCATCTCATACCAACTGTTATGTTTCGTGCCTCAGATGTCCCTTGTAGTGTTCAATGGAGCCTTGACGGCTGTTGGAGGCTCTGATGGTGTCACCAATCTGAAAACAATTGAAGTGTACTGTCACGTAACCAACACATGGAGGTAAGAGGAACATCTATGTTGGGACAACCCATACAGTAGATTGTTTACTGCCAACTGCTGGGCCTTTTTTAAATCGAGCCAAGCCATTAGTTATTATTCCAATGTTTTTCCATTTGTTGTTGTTGTGCTTTACAGGGATAATCACGTCCTAATTACAGAAGAATACAATATATCTTATGTACCAGGACTAACAGTCAATATTTTTAGCATTAGGATAACATTTTTGGGCTTTTTTTTTGTATTATTCTTTTTTGCATATATAGCAGCCATGACATGCTGGCTATACAGTAATCAATACAATGGTAATTGATATGAAAGCATTTACACAATGGGTCATAAACATGCAAACAACGACAACCTTGTATAACAAGTAAAGGTTAGGTTTTATGGTGTGGTGTATATGCTAGTATAGCAAAAGGGGGTAGTGTTTCTTTTAAGAAAAACGTTGAAAAAATAATTAAATGAGTTTCCCTGGTATTTAAAAAAAAATAGAGTGGTAGGTATAATAGGATAATATTCAGTTGATAGTATCAATTCATAGCGTGCATAAAAAGTTTATTGACTTTGGTCAAAGTCATGCAAGACAATAACTACAAGTGTTAAAGGTCCCATAACATGGCCATTTCTACTGATCGTAATTCCATTGTTGAGGTATACTAGAATAGATTTATATCCAAACTCACATTGGTTTCTCATACAGCATCTCTGTATCAGTGACATGCGGTGAGGTTCACGGCTGGTGAGATTTGTCAGATTTACAAATATTATATTTTGACCTTAATCGAAAGTTTCGGTTATTTTCAAAAGCTTTTTTAGTCTGATGCTTCGATTCATTTTAAACAGACCGTTCAACAAAAGGATACCCAAAATCTAAATATTGGATTGTTCTTTCTTAGTAAGATCCCATTTTCATTACAATTGGGGTCTTACCTTGACTTGTGCCTCACCTTACCTCACAGTAACTGGCTTGAGCGCGCTCACAAAATAAGTGCCCGCGTTAAATTAGTGTCCGCGCTCCAGCCAGTTACTGTGGGCTAACGAGAGGCAGAGCTCGTCCCTGCCTCACTTCTCATCGCTACCCGTAGTTGTAGCGGAGCTCGGCAAATTTGCTGATTTTGACTATAAAAAGCGATTGGAATCATACATAAATCACATTTACAACACAGATCAGTGGAGACATTTTATTATTATTACTATTTAGTTTTTCTTTAGTTGTTTTTCCGTTACATTGGAGTATGACAGGGGAGGCTCTGCCGTCGCTGCTCTGTATAGTATGTGCATTCACTGTCTGTCCTAAACGGCTTGTTGCAGCTCCTGCCCCCCTACTCCCTATGAGCCCACTGTGCTCTGATTGGTCAGCTCGCCCACTCTGTTCTGATGAGTCCACCACCGTTACAGCGGAACATCAGTGTTTATGTGTTACAATGGCGTTTGTTAGCAACCAGAAAATGACACCAGTAAGGATAAACAGATGAGAATGCTGCGTGGGGCTCTGGGTGCCGTGTTGGTGGGACGTTGAGGCTCGAGGAGCGGACAGTGTGAGCTGGATTACTGGTGTCGTTTCCTGGTTGCTGCGTGGGGTCTGCGAGACAGCGAGACACCGTGGAATTCCGTGGAGCCGCGGCTGAAAAAAGATAAGGCTGAGTGAGTGTGTGTGTGTGTGAAGAGCTGTTACGTCACTTTAACCGTTACGTTACTATACTCAGGAAGAAAAAAATGGAAAAAGAAAAATCTCCAACGAGGCGTTCTGGGGCAGCATAGACAGGTATTTTCGGTGTTAGAGTTTTACTCGCTACAGGGTGTACTTTGAGGGTTTGTGACTTTGTGTTTGTGACCAAAATAAGCTACATAACACACAAGGGCAGTGGCGTAACTATCGCCGGTGCAGCCGGTGCAATGCACCGGGGCCCAGAGCCTGGTGAGCTAGCTAACGACCATCATTGCCATCTAGCTCCACAAGTGAAGCTGTATCCGTGGCCGTGGCTGTGCGACCTTCTTCTCCAGCCAGCCAGGAGGAGAGGCTGGATTTGGCTGTGCCCAGCGGTGGTCCAACAGTTTCCCCAAGGGCCCCAACCGATAGGGGACTATATGGTGCTATTGAGACCCCCGACACCAAAATCAAAAGCTATATTATAGCAACCGGTCCATGTAGGCCTACCGGCCCATTCCCCAGAGACAAACGTCAAGGAAACAGGTTTAATCCTCTTTTTAGTTCGCTGTGCCGTTGTCAGGCTGTGGTGGTTTGAGGCCAGGGCAGGCTGTTGTTGATAGCCTATGTGGCGCTTCTGAGTGGTTGTGTATGTCCGTGCGTGTGTGAGCGCATCAGTGTGCGACTGTGCGCTTATGTTTGGGGCGATGGGGGGCCCAAAACAATATTTGCACCGGGGCCAATCACAACCTTGTTACACCACTGCACAAGGGGATGGGTAATAACCAGATAAGCATGTCATGGGACCTTTAATAATGAAGAAGAGAATAGAGAATAGTCCAATCATCCAAACTGATTGCTGCTATTCATTGAAATGTAAATGTAACATTAATTAATACTATACAGATTTTCTTGTGATTATGAAACCATTGTCAGGAAATTTCAAGCGTTGGACAAAAATACTTGATATCCAGAGAGTCTGCAGTTACAGTCAGACAAATAAGTCACTTTGTGATTCATGCACCGAGCTCATGTAAGGCTCCTATATCTAATATATGCCTTCAGGCTGCTTACTGAATCTGAGTGCTTCAATGTCTCACTGTTTTCCTCTCCATCTGTTTTTAGACACTTTGGAAGCATGAAGAGCAAGCATCCAGGAGGCAGAGTGGCTGTGCTATGCTGAGACTCGACAATGTTCATATTATATGAATAGGACAGAGGTGTTAGAGAGAAATAGTCTAATGGATGTACGCCTGGCTCCACAGACACATTGTGATATGGTTTAAGTAAGGCTGCATAATGGCCGCATAATTGAAGAGTTCACTCTAAAATAAGACATCGCTGCATTACCCAAAGCTGCAGCTGCCGGTACAAAATGACTACACGTAATAAATTAGAGGACATTATAGGCTAGGACATTTTCATTAAAGTTATGGGTCTTTTTATGTGTCGAGCTTAAAAACATACCCTATTTTAGAAGGATGAATCAGCAGCAAATAAGTTTCAGGTGTTATATGTATTTGTCAGAGAGTTGGATTTAGAAATAGATTGCACCATAATAATAGCCAGACCAGCACTGGATGTTTAATATATTAGCAAAATCATCAGCCTTGCAATTAAAACAAATGTCAGAGTGCAATGTTCAAAGTGTTAGAGTTTAAAAATAATCACTGGTGTTTCACAAAATAAAATACCACTTGTAAATATATTGATTTGCATGTAAGAAAGTAACATGTATGAGCCAGAAAGATGGAGGTGATTGGATTCTTTTTTTGGGTTAAAGCAGGATTCAAGTGACAGGATACACAATCTTTTGAGCATTGAGTATTTTAGTCAATTTCAGCCTTGATGTTTTGTAGAGGGATATTTTGAAGGTGAAAAACTCAGTTGGCTCTTGGAAGTGGAGAAAGCTACTGAATATTTTAGAAATATGGGCTTGTAAAGCAGCATAATGATACAGAGTAATGATGTGATTTATATGTTATGAGCCTTTTGGAATTGCTACAAAAAAAATTCTGTGTTTGAATTGTAGATGTTCATCATATTTCTATATGTTGTATGTACACTTAGCATCTGGGAATATCTGTGCTGCTATCATATTTTCAAATAGCCCTTCAGCATTGACTGTAAACATATTAGTCTATCATATTTCATAATTTAGCGTGTGTAAACATTTACCAAAAGGCACTGCAGCCACAGAACTGGTAAGAAAATGGGCTGGATCAAGTTGTGGAAAAGAAATCTGTGGGAATGAAGATCCTGAGTGAGTTAAACGAATGAGTGAGATCTGTCTGTTGGCATGGGAAAGCATAAGTGGCTGTGTGGGCTTTGAAATGATGACGCTCAGAGCTCTTTCCCCTGGAGAATAATGGGCTGAAATGTGGAGAGGCTGAGCACAAGGAACGCACAAGGAACGCACACAGAGCGACGCGGCTTTTCCGGAGAGACACACAACCCAGCGGTGTCTCCCTATAGTCACTTGGCGAACACAGAATGAATATTTTTTTCAATATGAGGGGGACGATTGTGAGACAAATAGCAGAGGACAGAGCTCTTGCAGGTATGTTTTTAACAAATGAAACATAACAGATGTTGCCTAAAAGTGATTGTTGATTACTATAAGTTAACTGGGCTTTGCATGCACTGTGTGTATCCCCTATTATTGATGTTGAATATATCAAGAATAATCAATAAATAACTTGTTATGTTGGGGGCTGTAGTGGTATAATTCCATTGTAATGTTTTGCAAAAGTCTACACAGGCAAGTTAATGCCTGTATAATAAAGATTTGCTTGCGTCTATTGAATGATATGAAACTGTTATATAGCATTCACAAGTACATGCAGTACAGTTGCACTTTCAACATCTTACCACCAGATGACTCTGACTGATGAAAAAAAAACACACACACACAGCCGACACTAGATCCAAACTGGCATTTCAAACAATTACAATGCTTATAATGCAATAAAAAAAAGCCACAGTCTTGCATCTCCACAACAAAGACAATGTGACTTTATTTAGCAAATGGGATGGGGAAAACATGATGCACAATTACAGTTTATATTCTTAGGTTTAGGCTATCATTTCACTGAAAGCCTTTTTATGAGAAGTCTTCTGTCAGCATCAAACATCAGTTTCCACAGAATATACCACAAGTAGCCCACTCGTGTAGATGGGGAGGCACTAGTGAGGGACTAAGCCCCCTTAGTGCAGCTCTGTCCTGGAGAGGAAAGGATGCTGATGCTGACAGGAGGGCATGGAGACCAGCAGGGAGTACAGCGTGCCCTTATTTTCAATACACTAGCCAATGTTATATGACAGCAACACAGCGAAGGAGAAAGCCACAGATGAGGTAGCCTACTTACTGTGATTTTAAGAGACGTAACAGCGGCTGAAAAAGGTTACATTCGAGCTAATTAAGATGAAAAAAGTCACGTGGAAACGCAGGTCTATAGGCTAGTCGACAGAATAGCACCAAAAAAAACAGTTTGTTCCTCTTTCCGCCAAGCAATGTAGTTCGTCAACACTAGGAAATAAAGTTGTTGCTAAGCGACAACGAAGTCTCTCTCAGTGGTGACTGATTTGGGAGCGCGCATTGATATTTAAATGAACTGTCAGGTGTGCGATTAATTACTACTGTTTCGAAGGCGTGTCCTCCAATCAGCAACGAGGACCGGGACTAGTTTTTTTTCTCTTAAACCTAAATAAACCGGCAGCACAGTCAGCGTAGTGCCGATAGAAAGCTAGCTTGTCAAGTATCGGTGTTTTTGTCGCCAAGAGGACCTACAGTGCATCGCTTTTATTTGACTGAAAGCTTAAGCCTACTCCCATGGACTCTTGTCTGCCCTCTGACTGCTGGAGTCTACTTCCCTCCCCTTTTTAATTACCATTTTCAACGATGCCAGACCTCTCACAGGGGCGCCTGGATGGGAAACATCCTCCTCTATCACACAGGCAATGCTGCACGAGCAGTGCAGGGAGGTTATCTAAACCTAACACATGTTTACGATGATGGGACCTCGGGCAGACACGAAAAAACAGCCAGGTAAACCAAGTTAGCAAGAAGTTAACCCATGTGATTTAGCCTATGTTCCTTCAGGAAGCCTGACTTTACTCACAGTGACTTACAAGTTTACTTAGCTTTGGTGTATTTGTATTATTGAGTTTCTATGCAATAACATGGGACGGGGAATGGTATCTGTAGTATTATGTAAATCCTCACTGACTTAATAGTGTGTGTTTGTAAATTTAATTAAACCCTTAAGCTTAATTAGTTGTATAGTTTAAATGATGACATAGCCTACTCCTTAGTGTTGCAGTGGTGCTCAGATGGAAGGTAGCTAGCTTTGCTGTTGATTGACACCCTAATGTTAATGCTTGACCTAAATGCAGATGTTTTGGTTTATCAGCTGTGTTCAAGTGAAGTTGCTAAAGTATGCCTGTTTTACACATGGAGGTTGTTGTGTGAGCTTAATGGTGTCACCAACAAACTTATCTTTGCATATGGTGACTATGATACAAAGAGGAACCCCTGTCCAAAATAATGGATTTATTTTTGTATAATCATACTGTAGGGTACATTTTTCAGATGAAAACCTTAACCTTGAAATCATAATGTATAGATGTGTATGATGGTCCCTGCTTTAAGCTGCCATACAGTAAGTAGGGCATCTACCATGGGCCTACCGCAATACATATTTATGAAGCAGACTGCAGATTTTCACAGACCTTTTATATGTCAGATTTGGACCTTGTTAATTTAGAGACACACTTTATATGTACAGTACCCTGCACGTCGTCGTCGTCGTCCCCCCCCCCCCCCCCCCCCCCCCCATGCTTCCTCTGCTTTCTTTCTTATACAATTGCAGTTTTCTCTCCATTAAGGGGAGAAAGCCTCTTTCCGGGAGCAATTCTCCTCCCTGTTGTTGTGGTCACTTTGCCTCATCCATTAAGTCATCCCTCAGAGGTTTTTAAGGGGACAAGACTCCTTTTGTTGGACTTCCAGACATCAACTCTTTTGAAATCAATCTTGTCAACCTGGCTTATCTAAACCTCTCCTTTTCCCCTCAATTCAAGTAAACATTGGGGTCAATGGTTTCATTATACTTCTGGGATGACCTCTTTTATTTCCCGTTTACCTCTCTTGTCTTTTCCTTTTCCCACCAGGACCCTAATCTGTCATCTCTCCACTCTCTTTCCTCTGTCTCCGCTTCTGAGGGTTTGTGCTTTCACTGCTTAGTAAGGGGAGAGCATGTGTCTGGAAGCTATTAGCCCACTCAAGTCTGCCCACACTGTACTATGATGACCACACACACACACACACACACACACACACACACACACACACACACACACACACACACACACACACACACACACACACACACACACACACACACACACACTGTTCCCTGTGGAGGCTTTAGGAGGGTATACAGAGATCTCAACGGAAGACCAATAAATCATTTGATTGGACATTTTGAAGCATCTTAGAAATAAGTCTAACATTGAATCACTCAAGTAGAAACATACACATTAATGAGCCCCTCATGTTCAGCCAGATTGCAAATGCATTCGTGTACTTACATTGTAGGTGTTTTAGAAATGGCAGTGTCCTATTTTTATTTATTTTTCTCTCCTTGTGTTGTTTTGTGGGCAGAACATTGGTTTAACAGCACCTTGATAAGGCGAACCTTCCTCACCATTGTTGCACACATAATACCTATACAGTACTATAATATACAGTGCAGACCGCTGCCAAGGCCGTTTTTGTGAAAAAGAATGCGTCTTTCCATTCTGTATCAAATTCTGCTTCAGGATTGAATTGGTTGGCCCTTGGCCCTTGCTTAACCCTTCCACAAAGTTATGAAGAAAATCTGGACTGGGGTTTTTCTGTAATCCTTCTGAGAAAAAGACAAATAATCAATCACACTGAACGGAAAAAAGAATAATTTTCTTTTCGAGATGAATCCACCTAACATGCTACTTACAATATACACGTAGAAACAACATCACTCTTCTAGCATGAGTCAGACAGGGAACACATTTACATTTAACTGTACCGTTAAAGAGCGTTACTGCAGTGAATGTAATCGGATCACATCCTTGCTAAGTGCGAAAGTGCTGAATATTTAATATGTGTGTTTAAACTCTCTCACTGTTCCCCTTTCTCCCCTTCTCCTGTCCGTCAATCAAAAGAGGCAGCCATGAACCCGCCACGCCGGACATCAAGCCCTCCACGCCGGACATCAAGCCCTCCACGCCGGACATCAAGCCCTCCACGCCGGACATCAAGCCCTCCACGCCGGACATCAAGCCCTCCACGGAGACCATCAAGTTCTCCTGATGATAGGTAATCTACCGAATCCCCCTGTATGTGATACTGTAGGAACACAAACCACTATAGGCAGCCAGCTTTTATGCATTACACACACAAACGCATGCTGTCATCATGAAGTAGGCAGTTTGTCTTTTCATATTTGTCACTGCCATAATTTGTGGTCTACTGTGATGGTGGCAAACAGTCAGTTCTTCTTTTTTAATTATGCACGCGCTTGTATATGTCCATTTTATTTTGTTGAATAAAACACGACACTTGTGAGATAGGACAGTAATGTCAAATCCTGTGTTTTCATGCATGACTTGTTTCCACTCAGAGAATCAGGTCCACGTTTAGCCTTTTTTTTCTTAAACCATCTGTCAAAACATTTTAGGTTTAAACTTTGTTGACCGAAAACAGCTTACGAGTTCGGCTAGAATCTTCACTCAAGTGTAGTAATGCATGCCATGTTCATTTAAAATCTGTATTCATGGAACAGATAAATGGGCCCTTTTTTTCCCTTTGCACTGATGGTTGTTGTCCAAGATGAATGAAGCGGAGGCTTTCAGTAGCACATAAAGCCCTCGGAAATTGTGCGTTGTGATTTCCAACAGTGCGTTGTCATTATATAGCCCTATAACTGCCTTTAGACTTCCAGCATTTAACCTTCCTCCCAGTCATTCTCTTATATTTATCTTATCAAAACAATCATAGGTTTCTTAAGATATTCCATTATTTTTCTAGATTTCAAGGTTCAAAGGTTTGAATGTCATGTGCACATAAGCTACAGTGTATAAATGGCAATGGAAATCTTACGACCCGAGCTCCTCCAACGATGCAACATATATAATAAAATACAAATAAAAAATAGTGCAATAAGACTATATACACGTAAATAGATTATGATTTATACAAGAACAGAATATCAAATTATTGTACAGTAAGATTAAATTAAATATGGTTTATTAAGGTGATAACTATTTAGATAAATAATTAAATTGCAAAATGACAAACAGATGAATGTTTATCGAGGCACTTAACAGAGCTCAGGTGTTCAGCAGCCTTATTACCTGTGGAATAGCAGAAAACATGTTGTTTAGCAGATTCCTTCTCCCTCGCAGGCCCTCCACTGAGAGCGTGCAGATGAACAACAGCAGCAACTCGGGCGTGATCCTGGACATCTCGACTCTCAAGATGGCGGAAGTGGACACGGAGGTGCCTCCTCTTCCACCTCGCTATCGCTTCAGGGACTTACTGCTGGGGGACCAGACCTTTCAGAACGATGACAGGTAAAACACTTGTAATACGAAATATGAGAGACTGCTTTGAGTTGACTGTGTGTGTCGGCGTGTGTCCATACAACTCATTTATGTTTTTAATTGTGTATTTGATTCCACTTGGAGTTAACTTTGTGCTGTGTGTTGTTGTTTCACACTGCTGTATCCGTGTTTCCCGAGCAGCAGCTTCATCTCCTTCTACCTTAGTTAGTTTCCCCACATTTCCAAGAATGACTTCTCATCACAACCCGCTAGCGTTGTGGTATGACTTATGTTGAGCTGTTTTATGAGTAGGTGGTTGGAGCAATGAAAATAGAAATGGAGTGAGGTTTTTAGTTTTGTATTGAGAAAGTGTCTTGCACCTTGCACACATCTTGTGGCTGAATGCACCGTCGACTATATGGAGTACTACTGGATGTTGCTTTTCTGTCTCTGTGATTTGACCTTGTTTAATTGTTGCATTAGTACAGTTTTGTAAGAAAATAGCGAAGACGCAAGGAACATTACAAGTCGTGTTAATATGGTCTGTCTATTTTTAGATAGCAATTCCTACACTGAACAAAAATATAAATGCAACACTTTTGTTTTTGCTCCCATTTTTTATGAGATGAACTCAAAGATCTAAAACATTTTCTATATACACAAAATAACCTTTTCTCTCAAATATTGTTCACAAATCTGAAACAATCTGTGATAGTGAGCACTTCTCCTTTGCCGAGATAATCCATCCCACCTCACAGGTGTGGCATATCAAGATGCTGATTAGACAGCATGATGATTGCACAGGTGTGCCTTAGGCTGGCCACAATAAAAGGCCACTCTAAAAATGTTCAGTTTTATCACACAGCATAATGCCACAGATGTCGCAAGTTTTGAGGGAGCGTGCAATTGGCATGCTGACAACCAGAGCTGTTGCCCGTGAATTGAATGTTCATTTCTCTACCATAAGCTGTCTCCAAAGGCGTTTCAGAGAATTTGGAAGTACATCCAACCGGCCTCACAACCGCAGACCACGTGTAACCACACCAGCCCAGGACCCAGAGTTCCCGTTAGAATATTTTTTCGCCGGTCAACATGTCCGTTAAAGTTGAAATCTTCCGGACAAAATGAGAAAAGTGCCGGTCAAAGGTCTTCTTTGTTATTTATTGTGCTTTAAAACAAATTGATATGATTCGATATTAAACAAACTAATTATAGTAGATTAACTACATTATTCAAAAGTGTACAGTAACTTACAATAACACGGGAATAATAAACGGAGCGCTCTCCCTCTCCTGACAGCCCGTCAGTATCATGCAGCTCGCGGATCAGTAATGAGTGACCCGACAGTAAAACTAAACATATCTATAACTAGTTACGGTAGTTTGAGAGGTCATTAAAATAGCTAGGCCTACGTGTGCTATTCTAACCTGGTGTGTGCTTTGTTCCGCTCACCGCTGCATGTGATCATCCAGAGCTGTGTGTCGACTCGTCAGCAGCAGCTGATCTCTCTCTCCCGTCAGATTAGACTTCACTCGTGTTTATGTCCATATCGATCAGATCTAGCTAGTTCTAGCCAGTGCTTGAATTGGAATGAAAAAGGTGCCAGTACTCTAAAATCAGCAACTTTTTCAAGTCAATTTTATATATACAGCCCACAAACAAGAATTTGGCTACTATAATGCTGGTGGGTTTGTCTCTTTACTACTGTATATTTTAGAAAGGTTCACTGTACTTAACATTTTTTATGATAGGCAGCGGATATGGCTAAAGCTCAGTAAGGTCAATATTAACTGAAAATATAGCAATCAAAGTCTAGATCTTCTGCTGAAGACACATGAAGCAGAGACCTTTCAGGTGAGAGCCCCTCTGGTGGTGTTCAACATTAATGACAAGGAAACAAAGCTCTGGTCAGAAGCATTTTTTATAAAAAGCTTTAACAAAATTAAGTATTTCTGTACATTTTGAATGCAATCTAACTTTCCAACTCAGAAAACGAAAAACGAAAAAGTGCCAAAAGTCTTCTCACATGGCTGAGCTGCTTTGCAATATACTTCACCACTGAAGAATACAAATATGTATAAAGTAAACTATGATGCAATCTAACTTTCCAACTCAGAAAAATGATAAAGAGCATGAACAAAGAACATGTAAAAACAAATGCAAAATTTGCACAATCTAAAATGAGAAACTGTAACTGCAAGTAACACAGTCTGAGCCATGGTAAAGAGTTACATTGAACACCAAGCTGATCAGATAACTCCCTGGTTGGTCTGAAGTCCTTCTATCTCCAGGATCTGTACAAATCGGCACATTATGCCAAAAGTCTTCTCACTGGGTGAGCTGCTTTGCAATATACTTCACATTGTTAGAAAAGGCTCCAGAAGGCCTTGGGGACATCAGTATCAGGGGCTGGAGCTGGACAGGCTCTTTCATCAGCACTTCTCCTTCCCTTTGCCAGCCAGGACCTCACATACTGTTCCGGATTGAACTGTCCTAGTGATGGTCCATTACATTTAATGAAAACCAGGCTGGACAGTCGGCTGACAGAGAGAGCATTCCTTTTTGCAGTAAGGATATCGTTCATGCAGCTGAATGCCCGCTCACACTCACTAGTGGAGACAGCGATGGTTCGGACTGCTTTCAGTAGAGGCTCCATGGCAGCAGGTGTACGGGATGCCCTGGTTTCCTTGTATTCGCGAAAGCCCTGAACAGTCCTCTCTTCTGTCCACTTTCAGCACTTCGCACAAACGTAGCACCTCTACGTCCCCATACTGTACGTCTAACTCCTCTTCAGGCCAACTTCCAGGATGGATAACTTTCATGTCCTGGATTAGCTGATTGTCCCGGGCCTCCCGGCCATGTAATGGGATTTCTCTTGTGCTGACATGAGAGGAGGTTGTGGAAGTCATTCTGTGTCTCAGATTCTCTACCATACTGCGGAAAAACTGACCTGCATGAATCTGTACAAGCCTGCCATTCTCACGCAGGGCAACACCCTTGAAGGACTTCTCAGCTAGAGCTGTATGAACTGTAGTCATGTGTGGGCCAGGCATGGTGACCATGGATTCAAAAACTCGTATTTCTCGAGTTAAGAGCCTATCTGCTGTAGGCAGTGTCATCTCTCTTTTTTGGAGTTGCCGAGAGAGGTCGCTGAGCTCTGTGAGCGCATCGTACATCAGTCCCAGATTGCTGACAAACGTTGCAGATGTGAGCACATCATCCAGGCCCTTGTACTTTGCTCTGTCTCTGGAATCCCTGCTCGTGTCGTTTGCAGCATTTGTGAAGTAATCATGAAGCACTCGGTAGTTTTCCCAGAATGCTCTGACGCTCCTTTCACTTGAAGCCACCCAGCGGATGGACAAAACACGCCCTATCACCAGGAGACGCTGTCCGACTGCTTGCGCACACTGCGCTAACTGCCTCTGATTTTTGGGGGAGGCATGGAACAAGGAATAGAGTTTGTCAAAAAAGATCTGGAAATGATTGAGCCCTGAGACCTCCTTGACCACATCCCCAACTGCCAGCTCTAGACGATGATTGGAGCAGTGCCACACAAACAGGCTTGGGAATTTACTACACAACTGGGTAGCAACGCCTGTTCTCTTCCCTAGCATGACTGAAGCCCCATCACATGCAAAAGAAACGAAACACTGACCTAAAAAGTCCTCGTTAAAATCTCTTCCAAGACACTCCATTAACGCCTTTGTGATGTCATCAGCCGTTGTTCCATCCAACTCGATCAGCTCCCAAAAAAACGTTTCGGGCTCAGCATCAGCTAATGCTGAGCGTAGACACACAACAAGCAACCGTTTTACCACTAATAGTGGTAGATTCATCGACCAAAACACAGAGTTTTCTTTGGTTTTCTGTAATGTCTTTTGCCATTTTTTTTTCTTCAGCTCATGAGCTATGTGGTCGATGATTTCGCCACAGGTTTTATTGGAGTGCAAAACCCTGCCCACGTTCAGCCCATTCAGTTTCTGTACATTCAAATCAATTGGCATGTCTGTGAATGGCCGGCTATGTTTGCCAATTGTATATGCCGTTCGAAAAACTCTGATAGTGGTGTCTAATTCAGATTTATGCATAGACTGCACTTGATGTTGAATAGTTTCACGTGAAGCAGATGTAAGGATGTCAGCAGCTTTTACATGGGCTTGTGATTCTTTATGTTCTTTGATTTTTTTTCTCAGGCTAGCTTGTTGTTTGCCCTTGTCAACACCGAAATGAGACACTGCACACTCACCCCATTCAGTTGACAGTTTCAGTCCTTGTCCAGTGTGTATTCCCAAAGATTTGACATCTCTGCATATCCGACATCCTAGCTTCTTATCTTTAAGAAGGAGCCATGCATTGGTCTTGCAAAAATATTGCACCTGGTCCGTTGTCCAGCAGTCAGGTGCATCGCTTTGCCCGGTGTTGGTGGTGGCAGTTGAGCCAGCAGCAGCTAACGTTAGAGGCTCTGGAGGAGTCGGCGGAGCTAGTGCTAATGCTAATGCACTAGAACTTGGAGCAGGAGGATCAACCAAAGAAAGCTCCCCATCAGACACAATTTCCAACACAGGCACAGCATTCTCTGTATTTGAAGTTTCTTCTGGCGACAACCGCTGTCTTTTTGCACTTTTATTAATCCACGCTAACATTTTAGAAATGCTAATTTGTGACGTGACTTGCTTTCCTTCTCTCGGGGGCGTGCCTGCTCTGTTCTATCACTCTACATAGCCACCCACTGGGTGGGAGTTGCACTGCATAAACACAACACACCTGCATCTAGGTATGTAAATTGTAAAGCATTAAAACATGGTTTTACTAACAGTTTTCAGTATGTTGTTACTTCGGCATTATTATTATTATTATTTTGAAACGTGTATTACTATTAAATCACGGTCAAATAGGTTAATTTTGACATAGTCGTTTCCACCACAGTATTTACATGGAGAAGATAAGCCCCGCCCCCTCTCCAGCACGTTCTGTTTGAATGACAGGAGTAAACAGCTGACAGCCGCTGTGAAACTCCAGCGGTTAGAGCG